CAATTTCCATTGATTATATACGCTAAATGTGAGGAACAGTTTTTTTCATGAGTGATAAGTTGTGCAAATTATGCGACAAATGTAAGGACCTTACCAGTACTCTACAGCAGAAATGCATTATAATGCAGTCTATGCTCAAACAAGGTCCACTGTGGAGCACAAACTGGATTATTAAAAATCTCAGTGGTTATGCCTCAATTTAATAGCTTTATTATAATTAAAAATAAGCCAAATTATGCTTGCCTACTGTCCCTGTTGAAAAAAAAACCTGCTTATGCTGGTTAGGTATGTTTTGAAGCATGGCTACTGGTTTGAGCTGGTAATGTGCTGGTCCTAAGCAACTAGCCCCTGCTCAGGACCAGCTAAGAACCAGCAGCCATGCTTCAATACATACCCAGCCAGCATATGCTGGATTTTTCAACAGGGGTGTGCTCCACAATATGGCCTTGAGGCATGATTTTAAAATTGACCCTGAAACCAGATGAGCAAATCGGTCCAAATAACCTGGTTGATTGTGGACAAACCCACAACCAAGGGTGCAATTCAAAGAAGTCAAAACTTACTATAATGACGATTATATTATAAAGTTTTGCAAGTGCGTTGGTTCAGGAATGTGCTACCAGGAATTCCAGCAAATCATACAATCCAATAAACACAACAATAAACAGGTTAACAATCAAACAGGAACACTGATACATATTAATGATAAATCACATGAAACTTAGACAAACATAACCTCAAGAATTAACATTATATAAAACAATGCCAAAGAAATAAACTTACAAAATCAGGAACACACCAACTCTACAAAAAACACTCACTTTGAGGAGAAGGAAATGGAAAGTCAGTTTCAGCTGCATATTGCACACACCAAACAAAGGAACCTAAATAATCATTCAGTGCACCTGAGGAGGCTTGGCTCCACCCATGGCTAGCTACGTCATGTGACCACATCAGAATTCTCAACAATATTCTTTAAGTGTATATGTTATATGTGAGGCACATTTGTAAGAATGTGCAGCTCACAAATCAGGTTGAAATTTTATGGTGTATTTTGGTTCGCTCAGTTGGAGACGCTTGACTGATTACACAGACACTGTTGGAGGAGAGCTGAACTGGATGATGACATCACTGAATCATCAATGAACTGACTTTAGCTGGAAAATGACTCTTTGTTATAGTCCACTTGCATTATTGACAAACGATTTTCCTGTTTGACACTGTAAAGCTGCTGTGACACAATCTGTATTGTATAAAGCATTATATAAATAGAGTTGACTTGACTTGTATTTTTAAGAGCTCAAAAACCATCAAGTCAAGAAATTATAACCAGTTATTACCAGATATAACCAGCATTTCTAACTATTTACTGTTCATGTTTTCCAAGTAGAGCATTATGTGACAACATGTAGAAAACGTATTTATCAGGTACAGTAACTCTCCTTCCGTTAATGCAGTGTCTCAGAAGGAGCAAATGCCATCCCCTGCACAAGTACATATAAATTCAGCCATTTACTTTGATTTGCAGAAATAATTTTTTTAATCCCCATTCCCCCACCAACTGACTGTCAATGCATCTATAATTTCAAAACTCTCATTTGGGATTTGATTTATATGATTAGCAGAATTGATCCATTTTTTTTGTGGTTTTCTCATCTAGCACCCCCAGTAAGTCAAGTAACTTAAAAGTAGGTGGTACTTCTTTTTGTTTTCTCATCAACTTCAGAATTCAAGAAGGCACAGCAACAGCTGTACTTTCTGAGGATGCTGAGGAAAACGAACCTGCTTGTGTCCTTTTACTACTGTTTAGTAGGAAGCATACTTTTCCATGGCATTCTGGTGTGGAATGCTGACTGCACTATGGCTGAAAAAAAAAGCTTTGCAGAGAGTCATCAACTCCGTACAGAAAATCACTGGTGCATACGATGCATGCAATGCACACAGATGCATACGACGGGCCAGAAGTATAATAAAGGACTCTTCCCACCCCGGCAACCACCTCTTCCCTCTGTTGCCCTCTGGAAGATGCTACAGATCCCTCAAGACACGCACCTCCAAACTCCGGAACAGTTTTTATCCACATGCCATCTTAGAACTGAACTCCAGTTAATAGAAGACATATCACTCAATCACAAGCTTCAAAGGTTGTATGTATACTAAGGACTATACAATTACCACTCATAGAGCTACTGGTGTAGCTGTGCAACACACTGTTCTCATATGTATATATTTATTCCTTAATTCTCTTGTATTTATTAATATTTCATTCACTGCTGTACATATTTGCTACATTTGCACTATACCTATTTTGCACATTTGGTATATACAATTGTTTACATTCGAACTGTATACTGTACACCTGTTTATATTTGCACTGTTTACTTTTTCTGTATCAGTTCCTTTTCTAATATGATTGAGTTATGGAATATGAAACAGATTGATCGGATTGAACCCAGAAACTGAAAGCACTGCGCATGTGCAATGACGCAGAAATAGCATAATGACGTATGATAACTTAGGCTGCTCTGTCAATTCTTCGTCATCAGTTAGGAACCAAGATGTGCTATTTCCTTTGAAAGCCACGTTTCTAGCATTTGTAAAACTGCATTTTTCCATCTCAAAAATATATCTAAATTTCGACCTATGCTCTAAATGTCAAATGCAGAAATGTTCATTCATGCGTTCATGACCTCAAGGTTAGATTATTGCAATGCTTTATTGGATGGTTGTTCTGCACGCTTAATAAACTAACTCCAGCTGGTACAAAATGCAGCAGCTAGAGTTCTTACTAGAACCAGGAAGTATGACCATATTAGCCCGGTTCTGTCAACACTGCACTGGCTCTCTATTAAACATTGTATAGATTTAAAAATCTTGCTTATTACTTATAAAGCTCTGAATGGTTTAGCACCTCAGTATTTGAACAAGCTCTTATTGCATTATAGTCCTCCACGTCTGCTGCATTCTCAATTTGATAATACCTAGAATATCAAAATCAACTGCGGGCGGCAGATACTTTTCCTACTTAGCACCCAAGCTCTGGAATAACCTACCTAAAATAGTTCGGGAAGCAGACACACTCTGTCAGTTTAAATCTAGATTATAGACCCATCTATTTAACCTGGTTTACACATAACAAACGAACACATTTCTAATATTCAAATCCATTAAAGGATTTTTAGGCTGCATTAATTAGGACAACCGGAACCGGGAACACTTCCCATAACACCCAATGTACTTGCTACATCGTTAGAATAATGGCATCTACGCTAATATTAGTCTGTTTCTTTCTTATTCCGAGGTCACCCTAGCCACCAGATCCAGTCTGTATTCAGATCAGATGGTCACTGCAGTCACCCGGATCCAGTCCGTATCCAGACCAGGTGACAGATCAGCACCTAGAGAGGACCTATACAGCCCTGAATGTCAGCAGAGATCAGGACAACTAGATGAGCCCCAGAGACAGATCCCCAGTGAAGACCTTGTCTCCTAGACGTCCACTGGGACAAGACCTTGGAACCAGATGAGTCCTCTGCTCAATGTGACTTTGCTGCAGCCTGGAATTGAACTGCTGGTTCGTCTGGCCAGAGGAAAACTGTCCCCCCGACTGAGCCTGGTTTTTCCCAAGGTTTTTTCTCCAGTCTGTCACCGATGGAGTTTTGGTTCCTTGCCGCTGTCGCATCTGGCTTGCGTAGTTGTGGACACTTAATTTACAGCGATATCGTTTTTTGATTGCACAGATACTATTTAAACTGAACTGAGCTGGATGATGACATCACTGAATTCAATGATGCCTTTAACTGAATCAGGACAACTAGATGAGCCCCAGAGACAGATCCCCAGTGAAGACCTTGTCTCCTAGACGTCCACTGGGACAAGACCTTGGAACCAGATGAGTCCTCTGCTCAATGTGACTTTGCTGCAGCCTGGAATTGAACTGCTGGTTCGTCTGGCCAGAGGAAAACTGTCCCCCCGACTGAGCCTGGTTTTTCCCAAGGTTTTTTCTCCAGTCTGTCACCGATGGAGTTTTGGTTCCTTGCCGCTGTCGCATCTGGCTTGCGTAGTTGTGGACACTTAATTTACAGCGATATCGTTTTTTGATTGCACAGATACTATTTAAACTGAACTGAGCTGGATGATGACATCACTGAATTCAATGATGCCTTTAACTGAAAATTGAGTGTTTACTATTGTCATTTTGCATTATTGGCACACTATTTTCCTAATTAATGCTGTACAGTTGCTTTGACACAATCTGTATTGTTAAAAGTGCTATAGAAATAAAAGTGACTTGTGGAGACTATAAACTGACAATCAATCAGGCAGCAAATCTGGAGACTTACCCTATTCCAAGAGTGGAGGACTTGTTCTCAGTGCTAAAACTTTCACTAAGCTCGACATGAGTCACGCCTATCAACAGATGTTGCTAGATGAGGAGTCAAAGCAATACGTCATGATCAACACTCATATAGGGCTGTTTAAATATAAACACGGTTGGTGTTTGGGGGGGCGTCTAGCCTGGCCATTTTTCAAAGGACAATGGAAAGCCTGTTGCGGGGAATTCCACACGTGGCAGTGTACCTCGATGACATTTTGATCACGGGGAAAACAGAAGAGGAGCACCTCAGTAACCTGGATCAGGTTCGCAAGAGGATGTCAGAGGCAGGGCTGCGGTTAAAACGGGCAAATGTACATTCCAGGCTGATAGTGTAACATACCTGGGACATCAAATATTAGCCCAGGGCCTCTATGCCATGCCAGAAAAAGTCAGGGCCATTAAGGAGGCCCCCAAACCAGGAAATATGTCAGAGCTTAAATCGTTCTTGGGCATGGTAACATATTACAGGAAGTTCTTGCCTTACCTATCAACAGTGCTGGCCCCGTTGTACCAGTTGTTGCAGTGATTGCCAGTGGAAGTGGAGGGGCGGCGCAGGTGGGTGCCTTCACGAAAGTCAAAAATCTGCTGCAGTCAGCCAGTGTGTTAGTCCATTTTGACCCAGAGAAAGAGCTGGCAGTGTCTTGTGATGCCCCTCCATATGGCATTGGCACCGTACTGTCACACATGATGGAGGAGGGCTCAGAGAAACCCATTGCATTTGCGTCAAGGACGCTTACTAAAGCGGAAAGGGGGTACTCTCAACTAGACAAAGAAGGCCTGGCTATTGTGTTCGCTGTGAAGCGTTTTCACCAATATCTCTATCGCCATCCTTTCACAGTTTTCACGGATCATAAGCCGTTGATGAGCCTGTTCAGTGAACATAAGAGCATTCCTTCCATGGTGTCAGCTCGTATCCAGAGGTGGGCGCTGACATTGTCTGCCTACCAATAGCGCATAGTATACCGAGCGGGGAAGGAAAATGCCAATGCGGACGCGTTAAGCAGGTTACCACTTCCAGACACCCCTGCATCCACCCCACTGCCACTTGAAACTGTTTTCATGTTGGAAAAGTTGAGTGACTCACCAGTGAGCGTGAAGCAGATCAAAACCTGGACACAGAGAGACAAAGCCTTGTCAAAAGTCAAAAGATTTGTCCTCCAGGGCTGGCCATCCATGGTGGTGGACACAGAGATGAAACCTTTTGAGAAAAGGAAAAATTAACTCTCAGTTCAGGATGGTTGCATCTTGTGGGGTTCAAGAGTGGTGGTACCGCCACCAGGACGAGCCAGAGTGCTGCAGGAGGTCCACATAGCCCATCCTGAGGTGTCAGGCATGAGAAGCCTAGCAAGGGCATATGTCTGGTGGCCAAATATGGATTGCAATCTTGAAAACAAGGTCCAACACTGCAAGGAGTGCCAGGAAAACCAGAAATTACCCAAACCCGTTCCTCTTCAGCCCTGGGAATGGCCTAGTAGGCCTTGGTCTAGGTTGCATTTGGATTTTGCGGGCCCATTCACAAGACTAAGAATGTTCTTAGTCATGGTGGATGCCTGCACCAAGTGGCTGGAAGCACACATCTTGAAAAACGGCTCCCGTGACAATTGACACATTGCAACAATTGCAACATGGCTTACATGTTGTCGTCTCTGATAATGGGCCAACTTTTACGGGAGAGTTGTTTCAAGAATTTGTCAAGAAGAATGGAATTATATTATAGAATATTGGAATTATATTATAGAATTATAGAATGGACATATTCGTACACCGCCTTTTCATCCTGCTTCAAATGGGCTGACCGAGAGAGCGGTGCAGACGCTGAAAGAAGGTTTAAAGAAAATGTCAGGGGCAAACATTGAAACGAACCTTTTCTCGTTTTCTGTTCCAGTACCGAATTACGCCATAGACTACTACAGGCCTGGCACCCGCAGAGATGTTGCTTGGGCAGAAACCAAAATCTCATCTGGATTTGCTGCATCTGGACGAGGGGGAGCATGCAAGAGAACGGAGTTTCAGAGACGGTAAGGCTGTCTTTGTAAGGAATTTCGCCAGAGGACAGCGCTGGTTACCGGGAGCCATAGTAAAAGAAAGTGGTCCTCGTTCTTGTGTGGTGAGACTGTCAGACGGGCGAGAGGTCCGTCGTCATCAGGATCATCTGAGGAGTCGGCAAGTGTCAGAGCAGTGGAGTTGCTTCGAGCAAGCTGGTGGATTGGAAAACAAGGAGAGTTCTGAGTTTAAAGGAATGCCAGGTCCTCAGCAACTGCCAACCACACAGAGATCGGATGGAACGATTGTGCAGGTGCCACTGAAAACACACCTGTGCCCCAGGAAAATGCAGAGACTGTACGGAGATCAAAACGACAGAAGAAAGCATCTCAAAGGCTTAATTTGTAACTCATAGTGGGAATAAGAGTTAAATAGTCTGTACAGGGATCTTAAAGGGGAAGTTTTGATTTAATTATGTTGAGTGGATAACATTAATGCTTTTGGGGGGAGAGATGTTATGAAAATAGGTTATGGTACCTTTAAGAAAGGTTCTGGTTGATGTTGTGTTTCCCCTTTAAGCGTGTGTGTGCTGTAGAAAAACAGGGACCAGTTGCTTTTTGCTGTTCTGACCGGGTCCAAGTCACACCGGGCTGCCACCAAACCTTCATCCCGTGGTCAGACCATGTATTTCTCTAGGCAGGAGTGCCCCTGGAACAGGTCTCCAGGCATGCTGTAGTTTATACGGATGCCTCTACCACCGGCTGGGGGGCCATGTACTACGAGCATGCAGTGTCGGGCGTTTGGACGGGCCCCAAACTGCACTGGCACATCAACTGCCTAGAGTTGTTAACATTACGCCTTGCCTTGAACTGTTTTAGAAGGTGCGTACGAGGGAAGCATGTGCTGAATCAGAAGCATCTGAGGTCACTTCGTGCCATTCACATTCCGGGTCTGCTCAACCGTGCAGCTGACAAGCTGTCACGAGCTGCACTCCCCAGACGGTCCAGCTGATTTGGAGACGTTTTACCTTTTTTGCCTCTCCAGAGACACCTCTGGAAACTTCACGTCTGGTCTCTGGACGGGACACAGAGATTCTAGGTGAGCTACCCCAAGAGGTAGTAGACACCATCACTTCGGCAAGAGCACCATCTATGAGCACTTATGCCTTGAAGCGGAACCTGTTCATCGAGTGGTGTTCTTCTCACCGAGAGGACCCCGTAGATGCTGATCAGTGTTGTGCTGTCCTTTTTGCAGCAAGGGTTGGAGCGAAGGCTGTCTCCCTTGACGTCTAGTGCTCAGAGCAGTACAGCAGGGCCCATTTGAGCCCTTGCAGTCAGTCGAGCTAAAGTTTCTTTCAATGAAAACTCTGCTCCTGATTGCATTGGCCTCCATCAAGAGGGTAGGGGACCTGCATGCATTTTCGGTCGACGAATCGTGCCTAGAGTTTGACTCCTAGGTAATCCTGAGGCCCCGGCCCCGGCCCGGCTACGTGCGCAAGGTTCCTACTACCCCATTCAAGGATCAGGTAGTGAACCTGCAAGTGATGCCCCCAGAAGAGGCAGACCCAGCCTTAGCTTTGCTTTGTCCCATCCGAGCCTTGAGATGGTAAGTAGACCGGATACAAAGCGTCAGGACCTCAGATCATCTCTTTGTCTGGTACGGAGGCCGGCAGAAGGGGAATGCCGTCTCTAAGCAGAGGATGGCCCACTGGATAGGGGATGCCATCACCCTGGCTTATCAGGCACAGGGTGCGCCCTGCCCGCTCAGGTTGCGAGCTCACTCTACTAGAAGTGTTACATCCTCCTGGGCACTGGCTCGTGGCCCCTCGCTGACAGATATTTGTAGAGCTGTGGACTGGGCGACCCCCAACACTTTCACTAGATTCCATAGCCTTCGTGTGGAGCCGGTATCCTCCTGTGTTCTCACCTCAAATGGGTAGAGGCACTGAGAATCCCCGGCTTAGTGTCGGCTTGTTAAACTGCTCCAGAGAGTCAGCACGGTAGACCCTGTCGAGCTCCTCCATCCCCTCGGCAGTCAGATGTGGTGGAACGTCCGGCACCAGATGAATCCGTGAAAAACGGTAGAGGGCTGGGTTCCATATGTAGATACCTGAGTGAATCCCATATGTGAAAAGTCCACGGTATAGCCTCAGAGCCCCGTGTTTGCCCGGCAGACTTCTGCCATTTCCAAGAGGGTTATAATCACCTCTAATCTTCCATATGCACCTAAACGGTTGTTCATATGTGTAAGTGCTTCCGAAACCTCCTTCGGGAAGGATGGGGCTTCCACAACAAGTCCAAGTGGAATGGGTACATTTTCCCAGTGTTATCCAATCTCACTGAGTGGGTAGTGCTATGTCAAACAGTGACTGGTCTTCTTGTTGCGAGCCCGAGCCTACGCCGAAAAGGGGGAACAGGAGGCCCACACAGGACACTGGATGTGGCAGCATCTGTGGCGCTTTGGTAGGGATCCCAAAGTCAGTCATTACCACCATGACATCGAGAGTGACCGACTGAAAGGAAACATCTCGGTTACATATGTAACCCTCGTTCCCTGAAGAAGGAAACGGAGACGTCACGTCCCGTCGCCACAGCTGCTGTACCAGCAGTGAGCGGTCGGGTCACCGGCGCGGCTCCTCAGTGAAAACATGAGTATGCGTTGCACCTGCTGCGTAGTTATACTTGTGCTGCTGCGATCAGTGGCAGCTGAATGCAATCATCGCATGCCAATGTGCATTGGCTCATTTAGTTTACACTCAAAGTGGATTGGTCTCTCTAAGCAAGATCCCAAAGTCGGCCATTACCGACGTGACGTCCCCGTTTCCTGCTTCAGGGAACAAGGGTTACATTCGTAACCGAGATGTTATTATGCCCTTGGAATTTGACTATAATTATGGTCAATAATGTCCTAATGAAAAGGATTATTCCAACTTGAATGCTAATGAGACAACATTCGACTCTCAGACAGAGAGAACTGAGCAGAACAGCATAATGACTGTGAATGTCCCTATATCAGTGGAAGTTACTGTTACTGTCACGGGATGACTCAGGAAAACAATGAAGATCCAAATTCAGTTTTTTATTCCAAATAATACCGTATTGGCCCGAAGCAACTAAAAGACACAAACCAAACAATATATACAGTATATATATATATATATACACAAGAGATTATTAACCTAAATTACACAGAGCTGAAAACAATGTCAATAATGAGTGCAAGGGGTAATGGGAGCAGAGTGAGGGGAATCATGGGAGATGCAGTCCAGGTAAACATAAACTATAACCCAGAGGGCACTCCAGCAGATGGCTGTGACAGTACCCTCGCTTTAAGGAGTGGATTCCAGACGCTCCAAACAAAAATCCACAAAGTGAAATCCAGGAGGGAGGCAGAGCAGAGGCGAACCAGGGGGAGGGACGGCGGTCCAGGCCCATGCAGCGGAAGAGGGTCTGGAGACAGACCCTACCAAGGTACCATAGCAGAAAAGGCAGGGCAGAAGGCCAAGGAAGGGCCAGCAGGACGAATCAGCGAGGCTCAGACCAAACAGGAACCCCAGCAGATGGCCAAGGCGGGGCCGGAGGGACCGACCAGTGAGGCTCTGGCTGAACAAGAACCCCGGCGCACGACCAGAGTGGAGCCGGGAGCTTGCCAGGCAACAAGGGTGGAACTAAAGACCACCTCAGCGGAGCTGACCAGCCAGATGACCCCCCTAGCGACAGAACTGCAAACAAGAGCACAGAGAGTTTATTACCAGCCTCGATGACTTCTACAGGACAGGCAAGCAGCTCAGCAACAGTCTCCTTAACCATAACAGGGCAGACTAAGAGTTCAGGAGTAAACGTATAGACTGGAACAGATTCTGAGGGCTCCCGGACTGGAGCAAGCTCTGGAATGGACTCTGAGGGCTCCCGGACTGGAGCGGGCTCTGGAGAGGACTCTGAGAACTTCCGGACTGGAGAAGACTCTGGAGTGGACTCTGAGAGCTCCTGGACTGGAGTGGGCTCTGGAGTGGAGTCTAAGGACTTCCGGACTGGAGCGGGCTCTGAGTGCTCCCGGACTGGAGCAGGTTCATGTGTGGACTCTGTAGGCTCCAGGACTGGAATGAGCTCTGGAGAGAACTCTGAGGGCTCCCAGACTGGAGCAGGTTCATGATTGGACTCTTGAGGGCTCCCAGACTGGACCAAGCTCTGGAGTGGACTCCGATGACTCCCGGACTGAACCGGGCTCTGGAGAGAACTCTGAGGGCTCCCAGACTGGAGCGGGTTCATGAGTGGACTCTGAAGCGGCCCATGCTCACAGAACAGCCATGAAGTGAAAGGCAAAGACAGCTTTCTTAATTATGGCAGTAGCAGCAAAATCAGGCGGCTCTGCAGCAACCTCTGGGACCACCGGAGTCGGGTCCTCCAGGACCACCGGACCTGGGACCACCGGAGTCGGGTCCTCCAGGACCACTGGACTTGGGACCACAAGAGTCGGTTCCTCCAGGACCACCGGACTAGGGACCAGCAGAGCTGGGTACTCCAGGACCACCAGACTAGGGACCACAGGAGCGGATTTAGGAACTACAGGTGCAGACTTAGCTGCCCTCCTCCTTCTCGACCTCCGCTTGAGTGTGGAAATGGATGAATGGTCCTGGGCTTGACTAGACGAGGGAGGTATGGATGGGACAGTCCCTGCAGTCCCTGGTGGTAGTAATTTACCTTTCCCTCCTTGCGGAGCTGCAAGTACCTCGAGAAGTTCCAGAAATCCAACGACTTCACCCGTTCCATCTCCCAATGCAGTAGGGATTCATCCAAACAAAGATAAACAAATAAAAATAAAAATATATTAAGTTAAAAATATATAAAAATGTCTTTAAAGTCCATACCCTAACAACCCAGTCTCTCCGCCGTAGTCCAGAACTTCTGGGCGAAGGCTCGCACCTCTATTCCCTGTTGGCGAAGCTTCTCCAGACTTTGAAAACAGACTTGTTCTTCAGGGAGCAGAATCTTGTCCCTCATACTGCTTGATCAATAATGGCTTCAGTCTTCTGTCACGGGATGACTCGGGAAAACAATGAAGATCCAAGTGCAGTTTATTATTCCAAATAATAATCCAAAAACACAGGGAAAAAAACAAGGCAAAACACAAGATAATCCTGAACATGAGCACGTAACAGAAAACAAGACTTAAGCAACTAAAAGAAAGAAACCAACCAATATATATACACGAGAGATAATTAACCTAAATTACACCTAAACCTAAATTACAATTTTTAAATCATTTTCAAAGTTCTTTCAAAGTAAAAATTCTTTGTTTTATTTTTGTGATAATTTTTTTATGATTATTTTACTTTCTTTTATGTAAAGCACTTTGAATTACCATTGTGTAAAAAATGTGCTATATAAATAAACTTGCCATGCCTTGCCTTACACACAGCTGAAAACAATGATAATAATGAGTGCAAGTGGTAATGGGAGCAGAGTGAGGGGAATCATGGGAGATGCAGTCCGGGTAAACATAAACTAAAACCCAAAAGGAGTTCCCTCTGGTGACTGTTATGGGCACTCCAGCAGATGACTGTGACAAATACTTCAGAAATTAGGGGATGTGAGCAGAAACAGGTCATCTTAGAAAAGCAAACAGAAGTCTTAATTAAATTTAAAAAAAATGTAAAAAAACTGAAAATGAAAATAACAGGGCTTGATTGATACATGGATTACGAAGACTTTGCAAATACTGTGTTGAGCAGGGAGTTAGGTTTGGGTAGTTCATGTTCTTTTTTCCATTAAGACCTAGAGCTGGTGCTGTTCTATCTCTAGTTGTTCATTGTTCCTTATTAATACTGTATTTTCCTGGTTCTACACTGTAAAAATATAGTCCCCCTAGGGTCACATAGGAGGAAAAAATGACAACCGCTAATCTGTAGTAATGATTTTGTAATTTGTACTATATAAACTATAAAACTATATAAACTATAAACCATCAACTATAAACTGTACTTATTTTACATACTTGTAGTCTTTCCTCTTGATTTGAAAGTCTCACTGATGCCCACTGATTCATTTTAGGCATTAGTTCCCAGAGAACCCTTTGCATTTGCTTGCATAACTTTTGTGAAGGAAATAATATGAGGAGGAAAAATTTAAATGCTTTTGCGATACATTTGTGAACAATACTTTTGTGAGAGAACGCCAAAGCAGTTTTGCTTCCATCTCTTATTTTTTCCATCACCATCTATCCTAATGGGCTCCATACTATAGGAGCTCTGTATGTTTCAAATATTCTATTTCATTTCATTCTGTCTTAAAATGTAGCTGCCTGTGTAGACAGTAGACTAACAGTATGCCTGTCTTTCATCCACTGTCTATTATATTATCAAAGTTATTTTATTTAAATGAGTGACGTGACATGTGGCCAAGTATGGTGACCCATACTCGGAATTAGTGCTCTGCATTTATCCCATCCAAAGTGCACACACACAGCAGTGAACACACACTTTTGGGCAGCAGCAGTGGGCAGCCATTTTTTTTGCAGTTGGGGGTTAATAAAATGCCAACTGCCTTGCTCAAGGGCACCTCAGTCATGGTATTGAAGGTGGGAGGAGAGTGCTGTACATTCACTCCCCCCACCTACAATCCCTGCTGGTACGAGACTCGAACCCGCAACCTTTGGGTTACGAGTCCCAGCTTCCTAACCATTGGCCTAATGGTTAGAAAGCTGGACTCGTAACCCAAAGGTTACGACTTCCCCCAAATATAAACATATAAATTAAAATGTTGCCATTTATCAGACACTTTTATCCAACGGTCACTTTGGAAGCAATTAAGCAGTTATGATGCTGTCTGTATGTTATCATTTGCTATGTTGTACAGTATGTTTGAGAGTGTTCATGTGTGTATCCAGTTTGCCAGTGTTTCTCTTATGTCTTAAATACTGGAGATATTCAGCTGACCAGATGCAGTTGCTATATTTAGTATAGTGCATTGATGCCTTTGTCTCTGTGTCACTCCTGAAGACATGGTAGAGAAATGCCTGCAAATGACACAGAGACCCAGTTTTCTTTTATTTTGTTTTATTTTATTTTATTTTATTTTACTGGTATATTAAAATGTATGCAAGTTAATTTATTTGCTCAGATACAAAGATTAGATTTGTTTGCTGATAGTGTGCCCTCACATTTTTGAGTGAACCCCCATCATGACCACATAGTTGTTTTATCAGGCTGGAGTGACTGTGATGGACATCCCATACTCAGAGGGGCAGGAGGGAACAGGCTGTCCTAAAGCTCATTTAGCACTGTGTTTTCTGCTCTCCATCAGTGCCAGAACTTCGCCTGATCTCCTCACAGGTGACATACAATGAATGATATCTATAAAGCAGCGGTGAGTCTATGCATTTGTTTTTTCTGGCAAATTTTCCACATAGCACTTTCTTGGCTTTCTTGCCTTTAAAACAAAGTTTGCCAACAAAAAATGTTTCATAAATAGTTGTAACTACAGTATTATAACATCATAACACTTACATATTCAAGGTTGCACTTTTGAAAAATGGGGTGTTATTTCTGTTGTTTGTGTGTTTTTTTTCCCTTGACATTGTCATTGTCTTTAATTTGCAGTAAAAAGCTCAAATTAAACCCTTGGGGTAAGACGCCCCTCCCAGAACTGGCATAGAAGACTGTTATTATTATTAAATGTCATTATTTTCAGTTTCATTTTCCTTGTGGGTTATTATTCAGTAATTGTATTTACTTTGATTCATTCATTAAAATCTATAAACTAACTGAATGAATTACTTGATTGTAAGTCATAATAAATTTACCTTATATAATCCAATTTCTTTTACTGGAATTCTACTTTTTCTGTTAGCAGTTATTCAATTAATCAACTAAATTGTAAAATATTAAAAAATATATATTTTAAATAGAGTAGTTAATTTAGTATTTTACATTAATGACACTTAATATATAAAAAAAGAACTAAATTAACAAATGTTTATTTATTTCTCTTAATAACACATTGGCTAATCATTCTGTACATGCCAAATTTCTATCTAAATACTTTACAATTTAAAAGTAAAGGCACATTGTTCTTAAGGGGGGCATCTTCCCCCAACTTATCTTATAACACATTAGTATAACACATTCCATTTGACATTTAGTGCTGATCATGTGTTGTAGTCAACTCTACCATTTAAAGGTAACCATGAATATCCACAAACATTTATTACAGCTGTGAAAAAAAAACTACCCTCAAACCCATGACCTACTGGTTCGGGAGCGAGACTCGTAACCCAAAGGTTACGACTTCCCCCAAATATAAACATATAAATTAAAATGTTGCCATTTATCAGACACTTTTATCCAACGGTCACTTT